CAGGCAAGTGCCCATATTACATTAATAGTGAGAGAAGGGCCCACCATTATATTGGGTGGTGAGTGGAGAAGGGCCACTGTTACATTTGCGGTCAGTGAGTTGAAATGTCTCTTTACATTGCTAGTCACTGGTCAGGTGAAAGATGATCATTGGTGTCAGCTGTGAAGCAGGTAAAAGCAGATGCTTATGCTGCCTCTGGCTCCTCATAATGGAATCCAAGCACTGTTCCTCTCCAAACTCCGATCACTGCTTGTAAAACTCCACCTTACGCGTTGCGTCTCTTCCGGATTTCATCAGAGGCTGTGAGTTACAACAAGGCTATAGAAGATGTAATAGAGTTGAGAAGTGTTAGAACCTGTAGAAGTTGTATCCCCATTGGGGTTATTTCCCCTCTCCTCCCTTTGAAGACTGGTGCTTTTGGGGACAAAAATGGAATCACAGACAGCAGTAAAAATTAAGTTCAGTTAAGATTTGAAAATGAAAGATAGAAGCTGATTGGTTGCCATGCACAGCTGCTCCCGTTTTTGTCTGCTGCAGTTTTGATAAATTCCCCTCACAGTGTTTAAGTGTGAAGGCAGACAAGTCTACTATTGCTGTTTTTCCATTAACTAATGTAAACTGATGCTACTGACACGTTTTAGCAGTGGTATAGCCCTGTTGTCTTGTGATCCTCTACACAGCTGCATTTGATTTGAACATGGGTGACCTCATTTGTTAACTGTACTGTTTACTCTAAACAGAACAATTGGCTTCATGTAACAGCAAGCAATACAAGTAACATGCAGAAACATATTGTAACAATCAATTTCCTTTTATTGAAGCATTGTGCTATCATGTGAGATTGATCACTACTGCATGCCACTTGTGTAGCTTACTCAAGAGTGAAGCATTTGCTCCATCTGTTTAGTGATCAGTTGCTACTCCTACAGATTTATCTCTATTTATGTCATTAGCAATCAAACTACTACAAATCTCCTGTGTACACCCAGCCTACTGAGGTGACTTCCAGCAAGTGGTTAAATCTTGCAGAGTAAGCAACCTAAGTAGCATGTAGTAGAATTGCACTTGCATTATCCTATCATGCAAGATTGATGGCTACCAGATGCTACTTGTGTAGCTTACTCCACAAAGCCATTTGTTCCATCTGTTTAATGATTACTTGCTACTTTTAGGGCAGCTTTAAGGTACCCATACACCTTTAAAATTATCTGCAGATTTTCTGTGGTCTAATGGAAAAAGTCCAACAGATTCCTCCATCTACACTTAAAGCTGGCCATACACTTTACAACCAAGGTTGTAAGCTAATTAAAAGCTTGTACGATCGGCCCATCTTGGACAGGCAGATCGTACTTGCGATCATCGCAAGCCCGCCCCCGCTGAGGGGCGGGGTTCCGATGACTGCAATGCTGAAGGGGCAGTGTGCGCTTGCACACACCGGCCCATGCGGCATTTGTCTTACGAGCACACCACAAACCCGCCGAAAATCGTAAGATTTTCAGGCTGGTTTTCAAACATGCTCGTAAGACAAAAGACGTACGACCGTACAGTAGAAATGGTTGCACGCCTTCCACACACCTGCCGATTATCGTACGATAATTGGCAGGTGTATGGCCAACTTAACTGTGTGGATGGAGGAATCTCCCGCTGGGCCAAGCTTCCGTAATCTTGCTAGTTGGCCCTGCTGGCTCTCAAAACACCTGAACAATCCCTGCATCCAATAGGATTGTTCAGGTATTTAGAGAGCCAGCGGGGCCAACTAGCAAGATACTGAAGCTTGGCCCAGTGGGAGATTCCTCCATCCACACAGTTTAGCGTAGATGGAGGAATCTGTTACAATTTTTCCATCTGACCATAGAAAATCTGCAGATAATTGTTAGGTATATGGCCAGTCTTACACCTTTTTGTTGCAGTAAACGCAATGCACAGTACTGCAGAATGCACAAGTTAGTGTGTTGCAGTGCTATTCAGAATGAATGGCACCCTAATGCACTAGAGCAACAGATTTGCATTCCAGCACCTTGTAGCACACTGCAGCACACAGTAACGCACTAATGTGTTGTGGTGCACTGTATCCGGAACGAAGGGTCAGGTCTATTTTAAAAAAAATTGGACAACTCAATGAATGCTATTGCGTGGCATAACGCACGGTAATGTACATATGGTAAAACACCATAGCCCACCTTAGGAATTCGTCTTTAGCAATTTTAGTTGCGCAATTTAGCTTCTAAAATTCTCCTATGTAATTCTAGCCTAACAAGGTGACTATCAGCAAATGGTTAAATATATCAGTAGGAGAACAAATTTGGAAACGATTGCTAGAAAATGAATATTGTAGCACATTGTATGCTAAAATCCTGCCCTTATGGTTTATGTAAATTGCGTGGATGTGGATTTTCCCAGCAGTTCCAGGGCATCAGTGTCCTAGGTGGTGAAGATGCCAAATTGTGATGCTCCCCCTCCCCTCATTGGAGCCGGAGAGGGGAATTAATAGTGGTGCTGCATTAAAATGTATGTAATGTTGCAGCGTGCGCTAAAATAATTCCAGTGGTTGTGGCACACCCCAGTGAACTGAGGAGTTTAATAGCAGTGCACATTCTGGCAAAATATGGGCCTAACAGTGGCAAAGAAAGAAATTCCCTTGCATCGGTTTGAGAAAAAAAATGCCCCTGCATCAGTGGCTGAATTCTCACACACTAGACAAAACTGTTTCCAATTTCATGCCATCACAGTCCTGATACATGTTCTTTCTCAGTAAGCCCTGATGAAGGGGCTATTCGTATGATCACCAAAAAGTGTTGGATGTTTCTATACTATCCCCTCAAGCCTATATTGAATAAAGATGCATCTGGACTATAAAACGGAGTGTGGCACTTCAAGTCAAAATCCTGCAATTTGACACTCCAAACCAAGCAGACCTCCAGATCACCTATACCGACTCTTTAACATTATAATTGGCCAGCCACACTAAAAGGATAAACCTTGCGGGTTCAGCGCTTTTATTCCACTTCTTTCCACTACCTGCGTCAGTGGTGTCACTAGAAGTAAAAAATGCACCTGCATCAGTGGTGTCACTGGAATTAAAAAATAGGCCCCTGCATTGGTGGTGTCACTAAAACAAGTAAATGCAGCTGCATTGGTGGCGTAGTTGGCACTCATTCCCCAACAAGCACTCATGCTAAGAAGGAGGTCTGTTCTCATCAGGTGCCCTGTCTCCTTTCTGCCCACAGTAGGCTGTTATTGGAGGGAGGAGAAAGCAGAAAACTCCCTTCAGAAGCTCTCTGAGCCCCTTTACTGCCTGACATGAGTGATGCTGCCATCCCTCCTGTCAATCAGTCAGCTGGAGAACTAGCAAGTTCCTAGCATGCCCCCTCCACATACAAAACTGCACCTGGGGCAGCTGCCCCTCCCTTGTCCTTGTCCTGTTTCCCAGTAATTTGTTCATATATCTTAGAAATATTTCTTGCAAGTTGGCTTTATTTTAAAGAAGGTATTACTACTTTATGTCAAGATCTGATAAGACAAGTTGTTTGTTTTTTTAACTTTTGTTTATTAATTAGATCTCAAAATCCATTTTGTATTCTTTCTGCAGGTTGTACCTTGTCCCATCATTAGTGCCAATGGACCAGGAGATGAAAAGTTGTTTAGGAGCCAAAGTGCAGAAACAGAGTTTAGCACAGAGAGAGAGCGGGTGAAGAAGATGCTGTCAGAGGGGTAAATACAAATAAAAAACATTTCCAAATTTTTTTATTTTATATTTTGGTACAAGAAAAAGTGACTCAATGAAATAAAAAATGCTTCAGAAATGTATAAAAATATGTTCATCCCTTTTCACTTTGCTGTTCTGGTGAATTGGGTTAACGCGCATAGTGTCATGCAGAAGAAGGGACAGAAAAACGGACATGCAGGATTTTTCCCAACACAGTGTACCACATTGCACAGTAGTGCTTCGGAGGTGCATTGCCTACATGCGATGGGGTGCCATTTAAACTGAAAGGCACCACAATGTTCTAATGCATGCAATGCATATTACCAGACCACATAAATGTAAATAGAACTTTAATCAGTGTTCTGCTAATTCTACCTTGACATCACAGCTGTGCTATTAACTCCCCCATCGCCAGAAATACATATTTCCTGAAAGCAGAGACCCTATAGAAAAAAAATGTTTTTCATGTCGCATGATAGTAGCGCAACTGTATTTGCAACCCAAATTTTCAGTAAAAAGTACACTTGAGTTAATTTTAGTGCACACAAACACAATATGTTACCCAGTAATTTTGTAACAAATATGAGAGGAGGTTGCGCCAAGTAAATAAATACCAAAGATGCCAAGCTTCAAAAATTGTGTATGCCCGTAAAATGGCAAACAACTACAATACCCGAACTGTCTAAAGGCAACCCTTTAAAAGCTTTTACAGGTCATCAGTACAGAATTACCCATAAATAATGGTCCTAGAATGATTGCTCTCACAATGGCATGTGCAGCAAAACTTAACATGTGTGCGCAATCATTGTTTTCGTACGTAGGCGCATACAACACATTTTTCACCCACTTTATTGCTATCAAAAAGTGGTTGACAAGCCCCCTGTGTGGTAGCACTTTACTGGTGACAGGTCCTCTTTAAGGAGACAGTAGGGGTCTATTAGACCCTAATGTCACCTTTGCAGCCCATTGAAACTGATCAAGCAAGTGCTTGATCAGCTTCTTTCCCAGCTTCTCTGGCCGGGGAATGAAAACTCAGAAACTGGAAGTGATGAAATCATCATTGCTTTCAGGTTCATTTTGTGGGGAGAAGATCAGCGAACAGATATTTGCTGCTCTCTGTCACCTCTCTCCGACACCCACAATGCTGTTCCATGTTGCTATATATTGTGACATTTCAGGAATGTAGTCATGCAAGTTTGTTAAGTCACTGGTAAGTCTGCTTAAAGTTATAAAAAGTCATTCTATCTGAAAAAAAGCATGACAATAAAATCACTTAATTAAAAAAAAAGATCTTTAAAGTGGTCAGCGACCATTTAGAAGTTGAACATAAATCAGATGTTTTGCTATAATATAAAGAGATATTATTAACAGGGTTAGTCACAGAAGGGTGAAGAGTTTGGAGAAGACAGGAGAAGTGACCAATCTAGGACAACATGGCTGATCTGGAAAGTGAGCTGAATTGGAGAATTTTTCCAAATCTGCTATGTAGTCCTAGACTGTTAACTTCTCCTGTCTTCTTCAATCTCTTCACCATTTTGTGAATAACCCTGTTAGTATACTGCCAAGTTTAGTATCAAGTTAAACATGATTGTTCTCAGTTGTATGTCTCAAGGAAAATGTAATAGCTTTCCTGGCACAGTACCCAGTAGGTATGTGGGGCTTGTGATGGCAGAAAGGATAGTTCACTAGACCAATAAATATGCAAGGCTCTTCCATGCCCCATACGAGAAATTGCAGTGTGCCTGAAGCAATATAAATGCCAATTTCACTTTAGGCAGGAAGAGGCTGAATGCTTCCACAGAGCAGAATTACAGGTTGCGCAAAATTTTCCAAATGATTTAGCATGGAGTTTTATACCGTTCTATTTGGAGGTCATTGCAATGAAACAGGAAGAATGTATGTCTGGTTATTAGTGGTCATTAGTAGAACTTGTCAGAGTTTCAAGAATAGCTTTTAAGGTTGTCTAGCAGTTCATTTTAGGCCTTGATCACACAGTATGCAAAGAGATCCACATCTGAAAGCCTCAAACACAAAGGGCCTGATTCATCAAGCTGAAATATGTGTAACAGCATGCTAAAAAGCTGCATATGGCACAGTACAATTACCTGCTTGATTCAAAAAGGAAAAGAAAATGTATTATTAAGGCATGATGTTTTTACCTTACCATTATAACACCCAGTTCACAAAAACTAGGTGCAAAAACTTGGATTTTACAATTGCTCTATTTTTCAGCGTCTGCATGAAGTTGCTACACAGTCAGGCAGGACTGCTATTGGATGTAGGGATAGGGCATTTTAGAGCTCCAAAGCCGTCAAAAGTCAAGCAAGACTTGATTAATGTGGCCAGGTTTAGTAGGACCTTGGCCACAAGAAAGATTGTATTGCAGCAGCTAAAGGTACATGCTGGTGTTGCCTTCTTTTATGCTCTGCTGTTATTAGATTTTGTGACAAGTTCTCTTTTACCTGAATTAACTTTGTTCCTGGTTTGGGCCTCTGGCTGGACATACTTATGCCACTAATTACAATCAATATTGATTATCTTGTGTCCAGCGATTCCTGCACCCTTTAAACTGTTCCTCATTTTGAGATACCCTACACTTTTTTTGTCAGAAGCAGATGAGTGAGACACTGTGCCCCGTGTATGTTAACCCAGCTGGGATGGGAGAGCCTAGCCCAGAACCAATGTTTAATCAAGAAGAATTTAGAGCAATAATATTTTTGGATTTTTAATCTTAAAAATAAAACTGTTAAACAATTGACTTGTCTGGTTCCATCAGGACCACGGACAGCACATAAGGTACTGCTCCTTACCATAAAAGGTATCTATGCCTGCATTGTTACATACAGTGTTTTCACATACATTGGCAAGCACAAGGAAGGATAGAATCATTAGAGATTGTCATCCTTATCTTTATCTTACCATCTAGTGAGTTACTGACCTTGAACAAGCATACAGCCAGTAAAGTCAGACTAAAGTCAGATCTACTCATTTGCTTATTTGTTCTGGGTCGCTGATTTAGAAAATACTGAAGCCTTTAGATTGGCATGCCAGACAAGCAAAGAGCATTGAGGTTGACAATGTCAGCCTCTATATTTCTTGTTTTATATTTCTGTATTTCTATATAGTGCAAGTTTCCTTTAAACTGAGAGTAAAAGTGAGGGGTGGGAAAAGAAAAAAAGCACCCTGGAGCATTTAGTCATAACGTGCTTGTTTGCACAGAATATTAGCACATTATGGCAGACTTACCCACTGAAGCGATCCCTTTCAGTGCTGCGCTCCTCCCTCACTGACACTTCTACCTTCATCCCAGTATTCTCCTGGGTTATGATTCTTCGGGCCCCCTGATGACGTAGCTCCCGCGCATGCGCAGTTACTTCAGCCTGGCATGCCAAGACTGCACACTGAGTTGTGCATGTGTGGCTCAGTGTACATAAAATAGAAAAATTGCTTACAGGCACCAAAAAGCTTTTATTTATTTTTTTATTAGAAGGGACTTACACAGTCTCAGTCTGCTAATCTGCCATTTATTTTTTTTTACTTAACTTCCACTTTAGGAAACAATTAAACAAAATAAATTTGCAATTATTTTTATTTTTTTACTTCCACTTTAGGAAACCATACAATGCCAATATTTTTTCACATGTATCCACCTTAATGATGAAACAGAATCCAGTCCATAGACAAAGTAGCTGAATATAGATTGTAACAAATATTTGACACAGGTCTAACATTGCCCTTACCCCTGTACTCTTAATATTTACTACTAACAGAAAATCAGTGAAACTAAAGTTTGATCATGTTCATATATTAAATGAAACTTTACCCATAAGTGTCCACTAAAGCTGTGCCAATCTCAAGGTCCCTTTATCCCACATTTAGTGTAAAACCGATTTCTGAGATAGGAGAGGGACTCCAGCAATTCATCTAAGAAGGCATTAAAGCACTATGTGGTCTCCCACTTTAAAAAACACAATTCATCCAATGTCATGGATTGTCATGGAATGTCATGGATTAAGGGGCTCCTAAAGAAGTATTTAAAGTGATACTAAACTCAGGAGTTAAATTTTGCAATGCATTCAAGTACCCTAACTAATAACAAAAATGTATCTTATATGTGTATCACTTGGCTGTAGATGATCAAATCATCTCTGAATTGGTGCGGACACTGTCCTTCCTTCTGTAGGGTGACTACTTTTGTTCCCCATGGTCCCTGTGTGTGTTGTAAAGTAGCCACCACTCCAAGCTCACTTCCGTGATGGACTACAATCTCAATAAACTAAACTCAGTAAACTAAATGTGAGATTGTAGTCCATCACAGGAGTGAGCTTGGAGTGGTGGCTACTTTATAACACACACAGGGACCATGGGGAACAAAAGTAGCCCCCCTCCAGAAGGAAGGACAGTGCTGGACTAGGGTACATCGTAACTCTACATGAGTGCCGTCCATTGCTGGAACCATGCAACTGTTTTGTGGCTTCTTAGAGAGATGAAATTCCAAGGTTTTCTGATTACATGCTATCAGTTCCATAACATTGAATTTTTTTAATAGTTTCAAAATAGTATTAAACTCATAAACTTTTTTCAATAATGAATCCAGATCAAACAAATATACATTGCCCAGCAAAGTATTGCTTTAATTTTTTGCCCAAACACTTACAATTATCATGTTTCTAAACAGCTGTTTCTAATGTCAGTCAAAGTACCGCAGCGCTGAATACTGAAAAATGGCCTGGATGGGAAGGGGGTTTAACACCGCGGATGTCAACTGGTTAAGGAAGGTTGGAGAGGGAGCCAGGAAGGGATGTAGCTTAATTTGCTGTGCCTGTGTGTTTGTGGAAACGCACACAGCTTACTAGCACACACACACAAGGCTGCATAGCACTCTGCTTGACTAAGGAGTCACTCTAAAACAGGAAGTCAGGACCAGTGCTCAGAGAACCAGAGCTGATTCTACTGGAAACTAAATCTTTTAAACATCAAGGAGCAGCATCAATTTTAACTAATT